TGAAAGTCATGGCCCAACCTCCTTCCACACTAGATGAGCTGAATATGAAAGTGGGAAGAGGAGTTTGGCGGTCAAGAGCAGACATCCCTGTGACTGACACCTTTCAGGCCTCTGATGACGGCGTGTAGCCGAAAAGTAAAGCAATAAAGTGTATTACTATAAAAAACCTGTACGACACAGAACAAATACTGAAGTTATCTTTCAAATGCCCAGGTTTAATAAAAGGACTTTCGAGATTTCCAAGATGTTTCCTTAGAATTGTGTGATGTGCATAGCCAACTATCCGAACCACAACTGAGCGATAAAGCAGTTGTTTCAATGGGAAAATTTTCCAAAGCTCTGCACCACCAAAAGCGAGGTTAAAAGAAAGCTTAGCAAAGAAACGCAAAAAGTCAAGCGATAGCAATGATCAACATGGCCTGGACAAGGTCTTCTCTACAATTGAGGCAACTTTGCACATCATGTCATCCACCTAGAAAGTGCAGACAGCCGAATTCCAAAGATTCAACAACAACCGGCTAGCGTTTTTCTGCAGAGAAATATTACTCGTACAAAGTTACCGGTCCTAGGTGGGGAAGATAATGAGTAGCTTTGCAATTCATTTGTGAAATGACAGTCAGCATTATCCATGAATTTTAAAGCAGATTTGATTGAGGGAAGGACGAATCCAAATAGGCAATAGAACCAGTGCGAGACTATGAAGCGGAGTTGAAGCACTGGCAACATACTTACTTGGGAAGTTTTGACAGTGAAAGAATGCTTTGGCGGGAGATCCCAAGCAGACCCACTGTTTGGTCAACCTTCATTGCAACTTCTCTCAATTTTTTGAATTTTTCCCCTGAAAAGGCCTCGGGCAAACTGCACGCGACGCACTTTGGCAATACTTCAACTATCTAACCTTTGATTTTGACCTGGGGGATTTGTGACCAAAATAAGGCCGCTCCGCGCCCGCGACGCAGTCTGACCGTAATTGGGTCACGAAGCCCCGCCTTCCAGCCGCCCTAGTCAAATCAAAGGGTGTACTCATCGTAGCGCGTTCTGAGCGTTGAGACAGTCTATCAACTCACGAAAGTTGTATCGTCGATTCGTTCCCGGACTGCTAAAACGTTGCGGACCCACGCGCCGCGGTTGAATGATACGAGAGCGCGAGTCTACAATAGAGGATTTATACCAAAGCAAGCGTTTCACCTCGCGGTGCGTGCTCGTAGTGATGTCCAGTCCATGCGATCAACTAATGAGATCGGGTAAGCCGCAACGCATTGGGGGGCTCGTTAGCCGTGGAGCGCGCCAGCGCAACCCTCAGCCGTAGATGGCACTCGCCCGTCTTTTCAAGAATCATCGTTGTTGGTGTTTTCGACCAATGCTATTTCACTTCTATTCATGTCTAAGCTAGATAACTACGCAAGTAACATTTACTTGTGACCGCTCTTGTCTTCTAAGTGTTCATCATGGGGCATGGTAGAGATGTGATGTAAACAATACATTATATGTTACTCTTAATATATATATATATTCTAGTTGGAATACATGTTTGATGGGAAAGGGCTTTCTATGCTGCAGCAATATCGGACAGTATTTCTGGCCGGTAATGCTGGAGCGCGGAAAACTCGAAAACAAACCATGTCGAGTGAATGGAAGTACATGAAATTGAGGTTACGATGAAACGAAAAATTCATTTTTCGCGCTGCATCCTTCAACAGCTATGGGTTGTTTCAGACTGCCGCACTGACCGCAGCAGACTGCAGCTGACTGCAGCTGACCGCACTGACCGCACCGGTCGCTGCCCTCTTTCGACAAAGAAAAACCGCGATTAACAAAACAGCATGATTTATGCCTAAGGCCCCGGTCAGACTTCACGCGACTTAATCGTCGCGATCTAATCGCCAAGATTTCCATTCATTTTCATTTCACATTCAAAAATTTCGGGCTGGAAAAGTATCACAACCGAATGCAAGTTGATCGGCATGGAATGATGTTGTAACAGTTGTCTCGTCGCGACTCAGTCGCGATGATCAAATCGCGTGAAGTCTGCCCGGGGCCTAAGGCCTAAGGCATACCTCACGCGATTCGGCCGAATCGCCACTTTCACGCGACTTGGCGATTTGCCAGATTTCTACTAATTTATCGTGCACTCTTCTCGGATGCATATTTGGGTAGCTTGTGTAAGTTGTTGCAAATGGAGCAAGTTCTGATCAAAGACAGCACATTAACGACGAATTACGAAGAGTCGTTGTTGTGCCAAATCGCGCAGCGACCGGAATCGCGCGAGGTATGCCTTAGGCCTAAGGCCTCGAGTAGAGTTTACGCGATTCAATCGCCGCGACTCAGTCGCGACGAGACAACTGTTACAACATCATTCCATGCCGATCAACTTGCATTCGGTTGTGATACTTTTCCAGCCCGACATTTTTGAATGTGAAATGAAAATGAATGGAAATGTTGGCGATTGAGTCGCGACGATTAAGTCGCGTGAAGTCTGACCGGGGCCTAAGAAGATCATGAGTTCCACCACAATTCTTTTAAATCAAATTTTGGCGATGGTATATTTGTATTTGTTCCAATTCCCCCTATCATTGCGTATACCTGCTTTGTAACATTCTACCTCTTGTTGTCTTTTGTTTTAAGCATATATTGTGGTTGTTTGTTTATGCCACAACTACCTAATTACCTTCTCCACCTTTAGGCTTCAGCCGCTGCGGCCGCTGCAGTCAGTGCGGTCAGCTGCAGTCTGCTGCAGTCGCAGTCTGCTACGGTCAGTGCGGCAGTCTGAAACAACCCTATGTCAGTTGAGGAAAGCTTTTTGCGAATATAGATGATGTATTGCATTTTGCGAGTAGTAGAATAACGTTTTTAGTTTGGTTGCAAGGTGAATCAGCTTGTCATTCCTTGCTCCTGCTCTGCTTTCGCTCTATTTTGGCCGTACTCATCTATCACAGTGTAGGCTCTACACAAGACCAGTAACTCAAGCGAAGCGGCTGGTCCATGACAGGGTGTGAAGCCTACCCAAACCTCGTAACCACAACGACCACCATGCTGAGCGAAATCCGCTGGGTTCACGAACCCAAAGAATCGGGTTGCTGAACCCACTGAGTTTGCGGACGAATAAGCCCAAGGTTTCTTGACACAAAAAAGTGTAGCATATATAGAAGTGGGTTACAGTATTAGATCCGAGTAGTTAAAGTGCTAAGGTTGATAGAACCAGATCGGTTACTGCCATTCATAACCAAAATCTATATACCTATATATAAGGAATCGGTCAGAGTTTGCCAGTGTTGCCCGTGTTGAAAGGGTTGCTAGTGTTGAAAGTGTTGAAAGTGTTGAAAGCGTTGCCGGTGTTGCCGGTGTTGAAAGTGTTGGCAGTGTTGAAAGTGTTGGATGTGGAAATCATCAGTCTTGCAGTTTCAATCTTCTTCAAACGATCTCATGGGGTGATGGATACGTTTGAAATAAAAATGGGAAATAAGAATTGAAAGTAAATGAAGCGGGAATACAAACTTTTTTGAAAAGTAGAGGACTTGTTTTCTCCAACATTTGAGAATGCTTCTGAAGTCTGATAAGGATGCGTGTTAGGTATCAAATCCGGCGCTTCTGCGATTAATGAGCAAATACCTACCTAGAAGAGGTCTTGCAGCGTTTTCAAATGTTAGAGATTACCTCTTTCAAACAAGTCCTTCACTTTCCAAAAAGTTGGTATGAGGAGTTCCTGCATGCGAAAGCATTTCCTTTTCATTTCATTCTCATCTCTCATTTCCCTTTCCATTCCAAAAGTACTCACCAGCCGGTGAGATCGTTCGAGAAAGAATGAAACTGCAAGACTGATGATTTCAACATTCAACACTACAATGGCAACACTACAATGGCAACACTTTCAACACTTTCAACACAGGCAACACTGGCAAACTCTGACTGATCCCTAACACACAAAATTTGTAAATGTCTTCGTTTATTTGTTCATTCTTATAGAAACGCCCGCCAATGAACCGATTGAGCTGGAACTTTGCACACATATGTACTCGGCCCCGGAGGTGGTTTAGCGCTACTTTTTGCGGCGATTCGCTGGACCATTCTATTGATTTATTGATTTTTGGCACAAGAATGAGTTCTCGACATCGGCTAACAAGTCATTTCCATGATTTCGTGTAAACAATAGCAGCAGAGTTCATTCGATTTTCGCGGTAGGAAGGATACGGCGATTCAAGGGCGAGCCTACAGCGGGTGATACTTTGATACAGAAGACCCTTGCAGCGCAGCGCAATGGCCAGGTGGGAAGGGGAGGCGCGGTGGATCGGAGGAGGGGGGTAGGGGAGGGGCTGGAGCAAGCATCACCTGAAGTACCCGGGCTAGACCGGGAAAACCAGCTAGTGATTTTATAATTCCGTAATGAGAACAAAGCAGAAAAGAGAAGACAGGCAAACAAATTGGTTTGACTCGGTTGACTCAAGTTCTGAGTGAGGGTTGCGCTGGCGCGCTCCACGGCCAACGAGCCCCTCAACGTTTGCCGCTTACCGGATCGACGATACACATTATGTAATCTGTAGCTTGCCGGCCTATCTGAAGACATCTGGCAAAGAGCTAGATTGCGTGAAGTATGCCTGGGACCACATGCAACGGAAGCAGACTTGTTTTGGTTCAACACAACACAAGGCTAGTAAACACTAGTCGAACCAGAATGTAGTCGTCATTTTTATAGAAGACATGTAGCTTTTGCCAGCACTGTATAACACGTACTAAAAAGTTACGATCAGTAAATACTTCTCCCTTATAAGCTGTAGCCAGTATTACAAAGTCATCCTCAAAAGTCCGCAAAATACGCAAGTCGGGAGAGTGGACGCCCTTCAAAAAGTATGAAATCCTGCAATTTACAGTCTCCCTGACACTTTGAAATACGTGAAATTAGAAGGAGCGTAAAAATACTGGCGGCAAACTTTCTACGCTCTAGAGACGTAATTTCATTGATCAAGAATGGTGAACAGGAGAGATAGGGAATGCAATGTTCCCACCTTCTACTAAAATTAGAATCGACCATAGATAGCCATAAGTTTTAGAAAAATGATTCCTACTATAATTGTGTCCGAATCGAACAACTTTGGCCAGCACGTGTATTATCACAGCTCACTTTAGAATTTTGAATATAAGATACTAGTGCGTCACCTCTGCTTCGCAGAGGCTCGCACTGATCTTACTTTATATGCTTTACTTGTTCTCGCCTAATGATGTCTTTGAAACTCACCGTGCAATGACGAATACCGCGAATGAAATGTAAACAACTACTCATTTCGAAGGGTTTTTCATGTGAGATCGGTAATTTCGCATGGATGGAACTTTTCGCAGAAGAACAAATGCAAATTCGATTAGGTTTTTAAACTTCTTTTGGCTTGGTAGTCGCCATAAGGACAACAATTACCGTGAGCTACATTTCTATGCAAAAATCCTCTCAAATGGTCAGGTAAAGCCACGGCGGATTGACCATTTGCGCAACCATTTCTTTTTGGCGTCGTTCTGGTATAGTAGTAGACCTTTGGTCACTTTTTCACCTAAAGTCCATGTCTTGCACATCAACATGCCAAACTCATCCACGACTTTGCAAAAAGCGTTGATACAGACCCAATTTTGCGGGCCAGAAGCCAAGTGGTTCCGTCTGACTCGCAAATTCTGATGGATCCACCCAACGAATCTGCTCGTGATTTTGTATGGTGGAGTTCTACGCTGGTAGCATGCGCTGTGCAAAATTTGGGCTCAGGACATTGGCTGGAACTCGCTCTATGAATTTCGTTACAGACAGACGGACACACACACACACACACACACAAAGTCACGTAAACACCCTTAGCCCGTTATTATAAGTTATGATAAGAATATAGAATATAATGAATATAGAATATAAGAAGCTTCTCATTTCTTCAAAGCATTAAGTAGTGCGATAGCAGGCCATCATGCAAATGTAACAAGCGTTGCTGGATCCATCCTTTCATGTCAGAAAAAATAATCGGGCAGTTTCTTCACGTTATCTATCTAACTTTTTGGTCACCGCCACAAACCATCCACAAGTACGATTTAGTCTGATTAAGTGATAATCTCGTCACTAAGATCTGATCAAGCATACCGGTGTTATAACAACACTTCCCTGATCAAATTGAAGGGCGAAGTTACAAGTGCAAGAGCTTGTAGCATAAAGCAAAGCGCATTCGGCTGACAAATGATCAGAAGATGGTAGCTATTGGAATCCACATTGATCAAGTTGTTAGATGGAATGTGGTCCTTTGCAGTACCATCTGAACAGTCGCGCCAAAATTGATGGTCTTACAACAGACTGCGAAGGGGTCAGAAGAAGATAAGGCATACTGGAAACAGAGTTATCTGGACAAGACAAGACTAGATACAAACTACCGGGCAGTTTGTTCATACATGGCAAATTGATTTTGGCAATTTATAAACAAATTGCCAAAATGAATCTGCCATGTATGGACAAACTTTCAATTTGATTAGAATTCCCTTGTCTAACGATTAGTATCCTCTGAAATTCTCAGCGTCAGCCGTTCCCAACATTACTGTTTCTTGATTTTTGTGACTTCTTTTGATCTCGCCAAGGAGTTCTTTCGCTAACAGCGTGACACTAGAAGCAAAGTACTCGAGAAATTTTTTTCAAGTGCAAATCAAACCAAAGGGAATTCTAAAACTGTTGACATTGCGCACGTAATTTGCCATGGCCCAAGAGCTTCTCGCAAAGTCTTGAGCTGACAGTAAGCAGTGACAATACATACACTACGTTTACCGCTCTATCAAATAAAATCATTGTTATCGAAACACTTATTTAACTTTCTTCCTCGTTTGGTATAATAATTATCTTTCTTGAATCAAAGAATACATCTTTTGTAAATGTGATTGAATAGCCCACGAACAAAGCATCAGTCTTGGAAATATCATCTCATGTCAGCTGTTCAAAGAAAAAAAGAAATCAGATCGTAAATAGAAGACATTTGATAGCGTTTACAACGCAAATAACGTATGAGAATGGAGAACATCGACAGTTGCTTGCAGCGAGTCCCTTGACAATGTTGAAATGTACTTGACTACTGATTTATCTGAGTATGTCTTACTGGTTTTAGTGCTACTTGATATCGAATACGAAGAAGTTTACGACTAAGGGACACAACCGTAGACGCTCTTGTGAAATCGCAGGCTACACTGAGATTACTTCGTTCAGAAATCATTGTTTTTAGAAATTAATTACAAAAGCAAATAGGTTCGCAATGCACCTTATTCCTGAATGTATTTTTCTACATGTTTTAGAGGTCTAAAATTGGAGCAAAGCGCTATAACCAAGAGGAATTTGTCTGTTATTTTCCGTGCTGATTGTACAACATGACAGACTTTGTACAAGATCTCCGGTGACGTTAGAGGACAAATGGAATGAGATGAAGGTCCTAACCACATCTTGTTTCATCATTCCACGTACCAATTCTCTTTCTCTAATCCGCTTGCTTTTGAGCCCAAATGGTAACGATATGTACGCTAGAGACTTTCTGGACCACCAGAGCTCGTATGACCAAGAAATTTGAGGAAATTCAAAGCATTTAGCTTTCTGATACAGCTGCATAGCACCATTTCTCCTATTATAGCAACTTCAAGAGTTCGAGCTTTATGTATCATGCCGATCCGCTACTATATGTGGCTCAATTGTGACACTAAGCTGGTGCAAAAGTAATGCTCGTTTTACTCCCTGGTTTCAGGACAACTTTTTTTCATGAAACTTCTTTTTGGAAAAGATTTAGCACACTATTAACACTCTTCTGCTCTATCCAATGGTAATTGAAACAAGCTTCGCCTTAAAAATTTACGGTACTTTTCCGTTATCCGGACCCATTTTTTCAAAAAAAAAAAAAGATATTTCTTTTGACCTTGTACCATATTTGGTCCCAAATTCGCAGAAAGAAATGTCAACCTTCTGCCACGTGTCAAAAAATTGGACATGTTACTACGTCTACGAAAAATTGTTTGGAAGGAAGAACATATTAGGTTGGCACGAAAGTTCTTGCGTAATTCAAACAAAATTCAATAACTTTTCAAAGACTAAACCTAAATTCACAATCTTGTATGCTAAAAATATTAGAAGCCTTACGCTTCATGATGAATGTTTAGGCATTAGATTCCGTGAGCTGGACATCAAGAACGAAGCTCTCGAATATGGGGCTTCAAATTTTGCGATTTTGAGTTTGGTGCCAGAAAATCGCAGAATGCCGCTAGCTAGCTGAAAAAAAAATCTTTGGAATTTATTTACACAACAAAGGTTCATATGTTACTTTAAAGGGCTTTGCTCTAGCACGGTGAAGCAAAAACAAAAAATTCGTGAAATATGTCACTTTGCGGAAAAAAATCCCCTCATATCCGCAGTTTTCCGGCGAAAACACTTTTTTACAATCGAGAAAACGTCGCAAGGCTCTAAATAGGCACTATGTCTGATCTCTGGTTGCAGACTGTGTTTCTGTGGAAAAATTATTGCGACAAGGGGATTTGTCCTGTGAAATGGGAAATTTCACAAATTCTTTGTTTTCGCATTTCCATGCGAGATCAAAGCCTGCTAAAATAACGTATGGACTTTTGCTGTGTAAATAATTTTTACAGATTTTTTCGGCTAGCTACCGGTCCTCTGCGATTTTCTGCCACCGAACTCAAAATCGCAAAATTTGAAGCCCCACATTTGAGAGCTTCGTTCTCGATGGCTAGCTCATGAAATGTTGTGCTTGAATTTCCAACATGGAGCGTGAGACTTCTAATATTTTTGGCAAACAAGATTGTGAATTTAGGTTTAGTTTTTGAAAAGTTATTGAATTTTGTATGAATTACGCAAGAACTTTCGTGCCAACCTAATATTTTATGAGAGCTTTTTGGAAAAATGGGTCCGGATAACGGAAAAGTACCAAATTTATAGACTTCACACTACTGCAGTTGGAACTAGAAAGTCATTGCAACCAGAATTCAAGAGCGAATCAAGGAATTTTGTGAAAGTTTAGCTACTGTATGTGATAGAGATTATTTACATCATGCACACTATTATTTTTCTAATAACTAACTGGACTGAAATATCGGTCTTCAGCATGGGTAGTCGTTTTAGTCATTCTGTGGCCCAAGCTCTGAAGACCATTTACAAAGTTCTGCTCATTTCTGCAAGCGTGAGGGCAGGACTCCTATTGACAGTTTTTGCAAAAACTTTTAGCTGGTTAGTACGCATAAAAACAAAAATCTTCATATTTTGGGACTGAGACCTACGAAAAAATGTTGAAAAAGTGACATGAATGATCTTTATTCTTTTGGCAAATTTTCTTTGTTTAATACCTTTTCATCCCGTTTTGTACTACTTGCTCACGGCTACAAGATAAGCCACTTATCATTTGTGTAACAGACTCTGAAGAGAGTGATACTCAGTTAAAAACGAGGTTTTTCCAAATACTTTTTTGCTTATCAAACAATATTTTCCTGCCCTTTTGTGAAATAATTACAGCTTGATGTGCGCTGTATTGCATAAGGTTTGCTGTCTCTGATGCCCTTTATCGCTTCAGAAAATATGAATTTTTTGGAATGTTATAGCACGTTAAAATGAAAACTCGCAAAAAGCGGGTTACTTTTGCACCAAACTAAAATCTAATTATGCGTTGACGCAGTATAATGTATGAATAAACATTGAATCAAGTAGCTGAAGCTGATCGGTAGACACACTGACGGTGATCAGAAAAACTAAAAGTTGATTTATCTCTGTCTCCGCTTTTTAACATACTGAACCCGAGGTTACCTTAGGCTTTTCTCGGTATACATGGAACCGGTTCCTCCAATGAAGCTCGATACGCCCCCTAACCTGAGCCAGAGACAACAGAACACTGAAGCCCTTCTGTCGTCAGTATGACGAATTGAGATGGCTCGATCCGTTGTCATTCATCTATGCCAGATGGTGGTCCATAGAAAAAGCTAGGATATTTGATTAGTGCACGTCGCGCTAATGTTATGAGCTCGTTTCTAAAGTGATGATACCTT